CATTAGGGGTGTGTGGCCTAACATGCAAAGGAGTTCCTGCTCCAAAAAAAGCCCTGGGTTTTGACAACAAACAAGGTAAACAGAATAAGAAGCAAAAGGTGGGTGTGGCTGGATAACCACACTTCTGGTAACATGGGGTGTGGCATAATATGCTAATGAGCTGTGCTATCAGGGGCGTGGCCTAATATGCTAATGAGTTTCTACTGTTGGGTGTGACCTATTATGCTAATGAGTTCCTGCTGGGCTTTTTCTACAAAAAAACCCCTGGAGAAACCTCTTTGTTAAAGGAAGTCCTTTTGTGTTGGAGGAAGACCTGACAGAAGAGAGTCGTAGGATCAGACCCACAGTGCTAATTTGGGTGCAGCTTGGTGTGCTGGGGACTGTCAACTTTACCGTAAACCACTGTACGTTTTATGGAAGGGTAGAAGAAAATGAGCAAGTATGCAATGGTGCAGGAAGCTCATGACAGATGAAAGCAGTCCCTCAAATGCTGTGACAAAGAAAGCCATCCCTGTTGAGCACTACCACACACAGACAGAGTAGCAGCCTTACTTCCAAAGTCTGCGAGCGTGACACCCCTAGCCTCTTCCCCGAAATACCTCGTCAAGTTCCCTCTGAGTCTCCTCCTCCATCCGTCGGATGTCGGCCATGCTTAAATCCACCCACTTATCCAACCAGCAAAAGAGCTGCCTGTGGAAGTTGGTAAAGAGCCGTCTTTCTTGCTGTAGGAGGAGGAGAAGAAGAAGAAGAGCTTGAAGGAACTGGGACCCTGAAGACACAAGCAAGGAACCCAAACCAGCCTCTTCTCTGGAGAGAGCAGAACCCCTCTCTGGTCTCACGCGGCAGTGCTCCAGAACTAACTAGGCCTCGGCTTTCGCCCTCCTCTGCCCAAAAAGATGAGGTGACTGTGGATTCCACAGGACCCGTTACCCCAGCAACCTCGACAATCCAAAGCCAGCCCCTTCCCCCAACACACCCCTAGTGAACGTGGGTGAGAGCTCACCTTCTGGATAAATTTTTCCACTCGACCTTGAAGGCCCCACCAACGGAACTTCACTGTCACAAGTTTGTAGGCACACATGTGAGGGCAATCTTCATTATTAGCTAGTTCCCGCTAACAGAGCGAAGGGGAGAAGAAACCAGGATGGTTAGGGCTGCAGTGGTCTTTTATTTACCAACATTTTATCCCACCTTTCTGCTATTACAAGGGCCACCAAGATGGATATACATTTAAAGCATCCGTGCCAAAGTCACATTTTAAAACCATTAACGCCAACCCCTCCAAAATACACATCGTTAAAACAACTGCAGACAGTTAAAATGCATATAAAACAAACACAGCAATCAAAACATTTGTCAGGGAAGAGAGGGTCACTGAAGGAATGGCAAACAAAATAAAAACGTGTTCACCCGCTAGCAGAAGACGGGAACAGAAGGGGACAGACGAATCTCCCTCGGGAGGGAGTTCCAGAGTTTGGTGCCACCACCAAGGAGGCCCCGTCCCGGGTTGCCACCCACCTAATCTCAGAAGGCAGGGGGCACCCAAAGCAGGGACTCCAAAGATGACCATGGTGGTTGAGAATGGTTCATAAGGAAGTACGTGGTCCTGAACCATACAGGGCTCTGAAGGTCAAGACCTGCACCTTGAGTTGTGCCCGGAAACAAATCGGGAGCCAGTGTCGATGGGCCAAGACTGGAGTGATACAGTCACTATGACCCACACTAGTCAACATCCTGCTGCAGAATTCTGCTGCTGCTAATGGGGGGGGGAGATAGTTTGAAGGGGGCCTTTGTTGGGGCCTTGTTGTCACTGGCATTTTGATAGAAGCACGGAGGTATCTTCGCAGGTGGAAGTCTGAGGGAAGCCAAAAGGAATTTGATAGGGCCAGCAACCACATTGTTTCACGCATGCAATTTCCACCACCACCCTTGCTTCCCTCATTCTAAGGAACCCCCAGCAGTCCTCATCTGCACCACACCTGACCAAATCTGCAATGTGTCTGATGAATTTCTGCTCCCTACAATGATCCTTTGAACAAAGGCAATGGGGCAGAACCCAGCGACTTGACTAAGGCCATATAATGAATCGGCAGCAGAGGCGAGACTTAAACCCAGGCTTCTTAGCCACAAAGACATCGTAGTCAGTGGGACAACTTGAAGGGTGTGTGTGTTGCACTGGGACTCCAAATCAATTCAGTGTTTCCACCTGGGTACTGGGTTGAGGTTGCCCTGTCACCACTGAAGTTCACCTGTGTGACTACCAAGCCATGCTAAACACCAGGGATTTAAGTTGCCCTGGGACGGAATAGGGTCTTGGGTTCCCCCAACGACCACTCCCCTCATATTTCACTGGGCTGACATACTTTCCAGTCTGGACCAAGAGGCCCTCTGTTTGTCTTCATTGATTTGAAAATAGCTGGGTCTTCATCTGGTTTGTAATCCTGAGAGAAAGAGAGAGAGAGAGAGCAGAGAACTGTAAGGCCCCAACATGTGACAGAGAGACCCCAGCAAGAGACGAAAGCTGGGATTTGCATCACGACATTCAAAAATCCTGCTCATCGGATGGCTGGCAGAGGGCCGAGTCCTCATCACAAAGAACCAACGGGCCAGCCTCCCACTTCAAAAGTACCAGGTTTTTTTTAACACTTGAGAAGAAACCAACAAGGCCCCCCCCCTCTTAAATCCAAAGAACCAGGAGTGAAGCCCAAGAGTAGTACTGTGCACCTCAGGAAAGCTTTCTCAACCCTATGGTAGTATTGATAGTAAGGTGCTGTTGCCCCTGTGGTCACCTTCAGTCCAAAAATGTTTGCAGGGGACAGGCTACAGAAACTCAGTGAAGAAAGATCTGTATTCCGCGTACATGCGCCCAGGGGTATCTTTCCTCAAGCCGTAAACCAGGCACCATTTTCTCTGCAATTTAGTATTAACCAGAACAGTAAAAAAAAAAGCCTGCACCCGCGGATCGGACAAGACCAGCAAGACACTTCTTCTCACAGCACTACTGAACTACGTTTTCAGCGCAGAGAACTGAGTAGACGACAACCAGGGAACCAGGGGAGGGGCAAAAAACCAGCCAGATTTATTTACTTCGTTTTTATCCCACCTTTCTCCAAGATGGGGACCCAAAGCAGCTCACAGCGTTCCTCCTCTCCTCCATTACAGCCTCACAACAACCTTACGAGGTCGGTTAGGTGGAGAGGTAGGCCCAAGATCACCCAGCAAGCTTCCACGATGGAAGTGGGGTTGTGATGAAGCTCGTGTTGAAGGCCCCAAAGAAGCTAGGTCAAAGATCTGAGGACACTGGTGTGAAGTGCAACCTCAGATTCCATATCGGAAGATACTTGCTTCGTTGTTCTCCTAGGTGGACAACAGACAATCGCTTAGCACCCCCGGCCCTTAGGATTCATGCTGTGGGTGCTTGTCCAGAATCACAGCAATCCTGGGTCTGGGCACTCCCCAAATAAAGTGGGGAAGTGGACAGACTTCTCGCCACAAAGGGGAGAAAAATCATCCCTGCCATCTTCTTCGGCAGGTCACTGATGGGGCTGTGTATCTCTCGGGATGGCCGTGATTGCAGTGGCGATTTTAGTAATGAGCACCTAGATGAATAGGAGCTGCGGTGGCTCAAGTGGTTAAGACACTGAACTGCAGACTGTGTAAGGTCGGTAGTTCAGCAGTTCGAGACCCGGGTGCCGCATGATGGAGTGAGCTCCCGTCTCTAGTTCCAGCTCCTGCCAACCTAGCAGTTCGAAAGCAAGACATCGCAAGTAGATAAAGAGGTACCACTTCGGTGGGAAGGTAACAGCGTTCCGTGCGCCTTGGTGTTTAGTCATGCCGGCCACATGACCACGGAAACGTCTTCGGACAGCGCTGGCTCTTCGGCTTTGAAACGGAGATGAGCACCGCAACCCTAGAGTTGGACTCGACTGGCTTTCGAGCAAGGGAACCTTTACCTTTACCTTTTTACCTAGATGAACAAGTTTTTACCCCCCTTTCCATTAAGGGATCCTTTTTTAAAGAGGACTGTTTTCTCCTTTCTAGGTCCAGGAATGGGTAGGAGTTAAACGGACCCTTGCCCTGACATGGATTGCTTGAGGTTGTCAGATCTCTGAAGCTAAGCAGACCTGATGAGTATTTGGATGGGAGACCACCAAGGGAGTCCAGGGTTGCGACGCAGAGGCAGGCAAGGGCAAACTACCGCTGAACATCTCTTGCCTTAAGAACCCCCCTAGGAGTCATCATAAGTTGGCTGCAACTTGATGGCAGAACAAGTACCCTTAGAAAGAACACTGTGGAGCCGGGCTGCCAGGTCCCACCTGGCATCTGGCAGGGGACTCCCGGGCCCTTCCGCCGCACACACAAAGCGCATGCAGTGCAATGACGTCACCCTGAAATGATGTAATTGCTTCACCGATGTTGGTGTGTGTGTGATGCTCTAGTTTTTGGGCAGAACTATGGGTTTTTGCCTTCAAAACCATAGTGTTGGCCCAAAAACTAGAGCGTCACCCCCCCAACAGTGGCGAAGTGATGACATAACTTCTGGGTGGTGTCACTGTGGCGGCTTTCCCTGCTGGCCGGCAGCATATCAAAGCCCTGAAAAGTTTGGGAACCCCTGCTGGGACCTGGGAATGCTACTGTGGAGCCCACAGAGGGAGGAATTGGGATGAGGTCATATTCGGCTAGGCCGCACTGCTGGGCCTATTCTCCTACCCGAGCGACACTTATCCTGCACTTCGTTAGATCGGCACCACCAAATTAAGGAACCAACAATCTGCAGACTTTGGGACCTTTTAAAACGGGGTCCAAGGCATTATTCCTCTATGCAAGACTTGTGTTAGCTAATAAGCTTCTGGTTTTGTTGTGGTGTTTTGCCATCAGGTCACAGCCGACTTATGGCAACCCCATAGGCAAGAGACATTCAGAGGTGGTTGGCCATTGCCTGCCTCTATGTTATCAACCTGGATGTTCTCCCAATCCAGATACTAAGCAGGGCTGACACTGCTTAGCTTCCAAGATCTGCCTAGCCTGGGCCATCAAGGTCAGGTTTTTACTTGCGGTATAACTTTGATTTTGTATCCTATTTTGCTGGTCACTTTGAGAACTCCTGCACTGAGAAGCAGGTGATAAATCCCCCAAATAATTAAGGAAACCCACCACAGGCATCAGGAGAAGGGAACAGAAGACCCTGGGGCGTGAATAGTTGCCAGCGCTTTAATTCAGGGCCTCTGTAATACCAGTAAGTCTGGCTGGAACTCAAGGCTTTAACATACAGAAGCTGTGAAAGATCTGGCTTTGCCCGGCAGAAGGCAGGACTGTAAACAGGTAGAACACCGTCCAGAATTCCACACCCAATTAACCCTTTGCCAACTACTCTCCCACCAAGTGAACAAGAGCCAAGGTGGCACCCTCACCTGGTCTGACACCTGCGTCCGGTCAGCAATGTCTATGTGGACGACCTCAACGTCTTTCCAGGTCTCCACATCAAGCCCATGGACCTATGAGAGAGAGGACAGAGGGGGGCCCACGTGACTCAAGTCTCTCGCCATATAAATGAATGACACCTCTCGCCATATAAATGCATGACACCTCAGCCAGACTCCCAGGAATCCATAAGGCCCATTTGCACAGGAAACATTTTTTAACTCTGGCCCTAAGGAATAGGGTTAGGAAAACACAACGTTCAAAAAGCAAAACAACACAAAAGCGAGTAATTCATTTCTCAGCGGCACAGGAACCCCACTGCCTTAAGAACCTGCTGTCTGTCTGAACTCTGAGTATAATACCCAACTCGGAACTAGCTCAATAACGATTGGCTATAGCTGATCCCTGATATTTCAGGGGTGGTCATATTTCATTGGGAAGAACACAGGTTGTGCAGGGGGGAAAAACTTGTCTATCAATTTCTTTTAAAGCCAAGACATTCGTTTTTTTAAATAAAGAGAATTGTCTATGACAAAGAGGAATTTCACGTTACCCTTTTTAACCCGTTTTGAAGCTGTTTTTGATCTGTCGTGGAGTAAACCGGTATAGGGCTGCCACTTCACACATGGCTTTCCCCTTCCGGTAAAGAGCTGGATCTGAAGCGGTTTGCCATTTCAGACTGCTCCGCTTTCCCCCCAATATTATTCACCCGCGCGGGCGATCTCTGGCTTTTTGGGGGGGGAACGTTTGCTTTATAGCGCTATAGCACTATAACAAAACACTCCAGGCTTTCCAATGGCGTTGATATACGGCTGTTCTGTTATAGCGCTATAGTGCTATAAAGCGAACATCCCCCCCCAAAAAAGCCGGAGATCGCCCGCATGGGCGAAAAACGGCGGGAAAAAGCACATCGGAACCGGGAGAGGAAACTCAAGACTACTTGGAAGCGGTTGACAGGTAAAACACTTCAGCCCCGTTTCCTAAATGGGACAGAAGCGTTTGTGTCTGAAATTACAAATATATTCCGGTAGGGAACCGGTTCTAAAATGGTTCTGTCTGAAATGCCAGACCAGAAACCATTTGGGAACCGTTCCTCTTCCGGATTATATCGTCTGTCTGAAATTCCTCAAATTTAACTTTTGATTTCTGACGATTTAACCTCCTCCCGGGTTGATGTTTAATGCTGCTGCAAACACCCTCGGGTTGAACCGAGACGGCTTCTGCACTCAGTCTGGCCAGATTCTCTCCCTATTACAGACCCTGCTCCATGCAGCTTCCGCCCACACCGGTCCCATGATGACCCTCCAGTGTAGGATTTTTGAGAGGTCAAAGGGGATCTCCTGCTTCCTTTTCTTGCACTGGAAAAATCTGGTTGGCTCCAGCCCTCTCAGACCAAACAACCGAAGCGAAAAGACATCCCCACTAGCATCAGGGCTCCCATAAAATACACTTTTTTGGGGGGGGGGTTGCTAGTGGCTTAACATTACAAGCCAGACCCACCTTCCAGTGAGGCTGCTCTGACCGGTGACAGCACACGGTTTCAGCAACCCCCAGCCAGGCTCGTGGTGCTGAATTCAAAATGCAGCAGTCCCCACTGCAGTCAATCCAACTAATCACAACAGCCCTAGGAAATAATGGCGCTGTGAACGGTGATTCCCCCACCTTCCCTAGTCATAGCAGTGTTGGAGGGAGCAGGGTAGCCAAGCCGTGGAATTGGTTGCCTGGCCCCAGGGTAGGGCCACCAAGCCCCCAGCTTCCGTTGCCCACCCCCACTTGGAGCAGCCATGGACATTTAAAAAAATAAAAATAAAACAGCAGCATCAAATGCGGCACTGCAGCACTTCTGGTAAAAACTCAGCAGCTGCACAAGACAGAAATCACTGGAAACTACAGATTTACCATAGTGTTTCTGGCATTTCCTAGAGCTACCCATTGTCACTTCCAGGGTTTTTTTTTACCCCAAGTGCTGATAAGCACACCCAGGATGATATCTCCACCAAGGATACCAGGGCTGCATAAGACAAGGAAGTTAAGGATCGGCCTTCTCTGTACAGCCAAATGATTTTATTACATCTGAATCCCAGTTCTTCCCTATGGAACTCAAGGCCAATGGTGGATTCTGCTGTTACAACCATCTAGGTTTTCTTTAGGACCGCTTCTAATTAACTGGATTAATTTAGGACCGCTTCTAATTAATTGGATTAATTTAGGGCCGCTTCTAATTAATTGGACGGCAGTCTTAAGTTGCGGTTGTAAATTCCAGGTTTCATGACTGTTACTTCGTTTATCTTGTGAATCGTATATTATACTGTAAGCTGCCTTCAATTCTGTCAGATGGAAAGGTGGCTAATAAATGTCTTAAGGAAATAATACGAGCAAGCCAAGCACACAGGCCCTCTGAGCCAGCCAGCCATGGCCCCAGGAGCAGGCTTGCCCTGTGCTGCTTCCTGGCTCAGACCAGAGCAACAGCACAGGAAGAGTGGATGCGTGAGCCTAGTCCCAATGGCACTGCTATTAGCTGGGTCCAACTTAGATAGCCCTGATGGGACTCAGCGTGGCTTACTCCTACAGCCCACCACCCTCCACGGGATCAGCCAACTCAGGTCTTTCCTAGGAAGCCATAGTGATCCCAGCAGGTCTCCCAGCAGGCACCAACCAGACCCCGAACCCATTTGGCTTCAGCAAATTTGCTGCAACCAGTACCTTCAAATCATGGACAGCGGGGTCCCTAGTCAACAACAGGGTTTTTGTCTGGCCCTCCGCAAGCACGGCTGAACATCATAGACGTTTTCGACACTCGAGAAGGCCAAGCTCCTTCTCTTCCTTCTGAGTCGCACTTTCCATGCCATCTTCATTGCTCTCCCTCCCACTCCTTCAGTGTCTATCCCAACGTCCTCCTATCTGTTGCTGTAGATTTTCCGGGATGCGTGGCCGTGGGCTCGGCATTGTAGAACCGGACGTTTCACCAGTAACTGTGACTGGCTACCTCAGAGGTATAACACAGAAAGATGGGAGTACTCTCTGTGTCAATGGGAGTACTCCAGAGAGTACTCCATCTTTCTGTGTTTATACCTCTGAGGATGCCAGTCACAGTTACTGGTGAAACGTCAGGTTCTACGGTGCCAAGACCATGGCCACACAACCCGGAAAATCTACAGCGACTAATGAACTCCGGCCGTGAAAGCCTCCGACAGCATATTGTCCTCCTATCTCATTCTCAATGGCTCTTTCCCCAGAGCCCAGAATACGCTTCCCTTCTCAGCTAAATCCTTTCTGGAACACTCAGATCTCATAGAACAAAACCTTGTATCTTCAAAGCGTGGCTTTAACCACTTTCCCCCACTCCGGGGTGGACTGACAGAGAGGGACCCCACCCCTTTCTGTGGAACACATAAAACAAACCCTGAATATAACAATTACAAAATACCCTGCAGATCAGACCCATGTGCCCAGCTAGGATCCCTGTACTGGTAGACAGTGGGATTTTTATTAAAGTGAAACATACTTCCCTCTTCCATACAAAGCCCCCAAATGCAGGATTAGGTCCCTTAGCAACAGTGAATTGTTTCCCCAATATACGTCCAACAGAACCTTAGTTACGGTGCTCACTTGCTCTTCTTTGGATCTATCCTTACAGAAAAATAACGCTGATTAACCAAATGCCTTTTCTTTTCTGAGTAATAAAACTTGAAGTGGGGACCTGGGGCCTTCCTAGTAATTAGTAGGATTCAAGAGGAAGTTGGCACCTATGTCTTATAGAGTACATAGCAAAAGGAGGATTTGTACACATAAGTTTGCCTTTCACTTACATTGTCTTGGTCACCTAGGTCAGGTTTGTGCCACGTTTCAATTTTGATGAAGAAATCATCCTTCATATATTCATTCTGTCAAAAAAAAAGGAAGGAAAATGGTTACCCACAAATACCTGCGGTAACGCCAAATCCCACAAACCCGAAGCCACACGAGACTCGAACAGACACATTAAGCCAGAATTGGCCTGGGGAATCCCTGACAATGATTCATGACTGGTGAATGTCAGAGAGGGCTTTCACCACGGCTTGGTGAAGACAGAAAGGGGAGACGAAGGCCCCGGTCACATGGAGCATTAGCCACGCTAGAGGAATGGAAGATAGGTGGATTTTCCGGGCGCGATCTCACCGCCACATCTGGGAAGCGTAGAGCTCCCGTGGCTCACCCGAGGCTTCCTGCCGAAGATGCACGGCAAAAAACTAGTACCTCGGAGGTACTAGTTTCCGGAAACCGTGGGTCAAGGGCAGGCGTCTGATCGCGTTTCCGGTGGCACCCGACGCCCGCCCATGCCCAATTGCGAAAAGGTTCCCCCCCCCCGAAGTCTGCAGGGATGCGCACCCAACGAGACATGTGCATACTTCAGGTTAAAACAACAACAACCCCGTATGCCGCGCCGCTTCTTTGGCGCATCGTGTGATCAGCACCTCCCCCCTAACCACGGGACCTCGACGGGACCGTGAGGGGATGCCTGATCGCGCAGTCGCGTGTTATTTCGCTGCGGGGCAAACAGCCATGCCTCCCCCCCCGCGATATCCGGCCCGTGTGACCGAGGCCAGAGATACCCAGGTAGCCGGACATGTTTAGAACAAAAAGGAATAGGGGAGAAACATTGCCTGTTCACCCACAAGACTCCCCCTCCCAATGTCACTCACCGTAATAACTGCAGCAAGCATGACCGTAAAAGAAGAGAAAGAAAGCGTTAGAATGGTGCAGTGAAATAATTTCTTCAGAAAGCTGGTAAGAGTCCCCCCCCCTCCACATCACTAAAATCAACACCTTCTGTGCCAACGTGCTCTAGAGGAGCAGCTGTGTTCATCTGTTGCAGCAAACACAAAAAAAGGAGACTTCTGGCCCCTTAAAGGCCATCAGGGATCCTATGCCAAGATATTTTGTGCCACAGTAAATCCCAGAGTCCCTTAAAGGGCCACAAAACTCCTTACTGCGTTTGCTGCAATGGACTCGTATGCCTACTCGTCTGGAATCTCCGATGAAACAGAGCATTTTTCCTAACTAAACCCTGAGGGGGGGGGAATCTTCCTTAACTAGAGACAAGGGCCCCCATTCTGACAAATCACACAATATTATTCTAAACCCACAATATATGAACCTCTATGGAGCTGCCATGTACTGAATCAGACTAATGAACCACCTATCTCCACACTGTCGGTTAACTGGCAGCATCTCCCTGGGGTCTTTAGGCAGAGGGTCTCTCCAGACGCCCGTCTACCTGGGGTACCTGTTCAGGTAGACATACCAGGGATCAAATCTAAGGCCCTCTGGACATAAAGCACCTGCTTTACCACTGAGCTACAGGCCCTCCCCGATACATTCAAAACATTAGATTTTATCTATGCAAACCCCACAATTTATTACAACAAAAACAGCAAAGCCAGACCTCACTTCCCTTTCCCAGGAACTCAGAAGTCCCAGGTTCCTTCCCTCTCCAACCCTCTAGATCTGCGATATCCTCGAGAGCCCTGCGATATTCTTCGGAAGCCCACCCGAGACGCTTTGCTGAAAAGACCAATATTAGCCGACCAGTTTTCTTAAACTTGCAGAAGAGCGTGGGTATGAGATCACACTCTCTATTCAACCAGCATTAACAGAGAGGTGCAAAAGACCAGGACAGCACTTGACACAAAGCATGTGTTCGCTCTAGAGCGTATCCCAGAATCCTCTGCAACGCACCAGGATTCTAGGTCAGAAATGCACAGAAGTTCCTGAAACTTTGCTCTAGGCAGCATCTTCCCTTACAGAAGACCCCAGGAGCCTGTCTTTTACATTTTGAGATGGGTTGCCATGTTAGTCTGTCTGTAGCAGTAGAAAAGAGCATGAGTCCAGTAGCACCTTAAAGATTAACAAACTTTGTGGTAGGGTAGGAGCTTTCGTGAGTCACTGCTCACTTCTGATGTGATTCACGCCATCCTCGAATGGGATTTATGTCATCATGTGTCAGCAATGCCTTTCCACCCTCTACATTGGACAAAGAGGTCAGTCCTTTTGACAAAAAATTAATGGGCATAAGTCTGAAATCAGAAACCACGACATTCAAAAACCAGTGGGGGAATATTTTAACCTTTCAGGACATTCAGCTGCTGACCTAAAAGCAGCAGTTATCTTACAAAGGAATTTCAAAGGGAGATTAGAAAGAAAGACTGCTGAATTGCAACTGATGATGAAGCTCAAGACAAGGCATCCACCTGGACTGAATCGAGGACCTAGGTTTCCTGTCTCATTACCAATGCTGATTTCTCCATGCCTATTAAAGGTAAAGGTTCCCTTGCTCGAAAGCCAGTCGAATCTGACTCTAGGGTTGCGGTGCTCATTTCCGTTTCAAAGCCGAAGAGCCAGTGCTGTCCGGAGACGTTTCCGTGGTCATGTGGCCGGCATGACTAAACACCAAGGCGCACGGAACGCTGTTACCTTCCCACCGAAGTGGTACCTATTTATCTACTTGCAATTTCTTGCTTTCGAACTGCTAGGTTGGCAGGAG